ACCTTTGAACAACCGGCCCTTGGGGTTTAGGTGCAGCACTTTCCTTGCGATAGTAGCTTCTAGTATACTGGATATTTTAATGTTTCAAAATTTGCTGGTGAAGTCATAATTTGTATACCAAATACACTGTTATTACTCAGTAACGAAGAGAGATACGAAAGATTTGCAAAAAAATTTCCACTACCATTTGATGAGTTCTTTCAAATGAAAGAACTTTTTATTTTATTGTTCATAATTACCTCTAACCCCAAAAAACTACTACTAAATGATAAAAGTTTTAGTTGTTGGGTTTATTTGTAAAAATATAGAAATTTGCACTGATCAACTTCTTAAATGGTTAAATTAATAAATCAGTTGAAGTTAAATCTTCAAGTTTACCAGCCGAGAGATTTTAGATCATAGAAATAAATAGGTATGGTAACATGATTTTCATATTAATTCAGTTATTTAAGTTGAAACATGTTATTTTTTTTAACTTGAGCAAGAATTTGGTTATCGCCTAATTAACAATGACTAAATAAATGTACACCACGCTAAATTATTGCTAGTCAACTTTTTGTGCCCTTATATAGTTTAAAAAATATATGAAACATATTTTCATATGAAACATTTTTCTCACAAATATGATCTTTTGTTATTGACTTTAACGTGGGGGACACTATCGGCGGCAATCGTAATTTGATACATTCCGCAATATTATAATTATACGTTTCCAGCAAATTTAGTAATAAGTAGAGCATACATGCAAATATTCCGCAATCCGCATGGCCCGCTAATATAGGTATATAGCACTTCCGTCACTCTTTTGTCAGGCAATTGCCTGTGACGTTTCACTGTCAGTATATTATATTTTATTACCAATTAAATCGTTTCGAGTTTCACAGCGTGGTTTTTAGAACACGCTATTAATTTACAACTATAACCTACATTCGTCGAACCTAGAATTTTATCCACATAATAAAAAAAGAATAAACACATCTATCAGAATGATACAATTTATAATTGCGCAGTTTATCACAGTTAGAAAGAATCTCGACACATTGCATGAATTCAATGCGGCATTGACACATCACACCTCAGCAAAATTTATCGAATAGCTGTTTTAAGTTCTAGCAATAACCCGTAATGAAATATAAAATATAATAACATGCTGAATGTAGATTGTTCACAGGTTCACACACATTACCAAGTGCCGCGCGCTCTGCGTGCCTGCCTTATAAAGCAATTCTACCATGAGACGCACCTGACTGAATTTTCTTCGCTGTCATCTGGCGTGGCACATGAACAAAGCCAATGACCAGCCGACTTTTCTTCTGCCAGTTTCATCGTCCCCATAACTTTCAGTGTGAAATCACCAAATAGTTTTGTGTCTTTGCCATAGTAAGTTTTACCATCCTTTGCAAAAAACAACGAAGGCATATTCTCTCCCTAAAGAAAAACGATAGCGCTATTAACATTTTACGATTCAATCGTTTATAACGTACAGTAAATGTCTCAGCGCGTATTCACCCCCGTATGCGCAAAGTATATTGCTCAATAAAATTCAATGATACAAACCTGTTCCTTTTCTTTGTAGTTTGACATGGTAAGATTTAGGAAATAGCTTTACAACCCACAGAGATGCTGTTCCAGGCAAAGGTAACAAACCAAGAGAACAAAGACTTTTTTGCAACATATCTAATAGATGTAGCCATATGGAAAGGTCGATTTTCATTGGGTTAAGTTTGAGTTTCCACCAATCATAAACAATATGAGAGGAAATTAATATAGGATTTGTTATGAACAGGCAATGCATTCATTAAATCACCTTCCAAGTCTCGCGCATTCTTCGTGAGACACACGCATGCACGCAGCGACCAGGGTATTAATAGCCTGGGCCCTGGGGCCAGTTAAAGTTAATTAACTGCAGTTAGCGTTAACTACGATAGCTAGATTCTTAACTGTAAGTAACTTAACTACACCGTCTGCACGACCTAACTAGTTAACTAATCACGTAGTTAAAGTGACTACACGTAGTTATAGATGGGAAAATTGAACGTAAAATAACATAAAGTAAGCAACGATTATCGACCGCTAGCATGGATTTTGAACAAGACTGCGGACTCGTATTTACTGAAATTTCAAAATTTCATATTTGCGGGTTTTTTTAAATATTGAGGAAAAAACACAAGAAAACATGAAAAAATATCAAGAAAAAGGCACTTTTATCGTGAAAAACCATAATTGTGTCGAATTGCAACTAGTCCATAAAAATGGAGTGGATTATCTGAAAAAAATGTAATTTATCCAGTAAGGCTGTATTGACAAAGGCTACGTTTTCAAATTTGGGTGTATTTTTAGAAAAGTCTACAGATATTGTTCCCAAGATTGTATATATCAGATTTGATTGACAGTCATATCGATTTCGCCATTGGGAATTTTGCGTTGTGTGGGCAAACGCGTATTCACCGTTTCTAGATGTGTTGTCGGCAGACCCTCCTTTCTCCTGAGGGACGCTCGCAGTCTAGAATATTGCAACAGATGACAGTGACATTAGCAATCTTGTTCCCCGAGCATGCCCGTTCTCAGGTTAAGGTGACTCGGGGACCAAGATTGGGACATTAGCCATTATAAAGTTGATGAGAGGTCTGGGGACGAGTGTTAAAACTGAAAAACGAACCAAATCACTAAAAAAGCCAACTCAAAATTCGTATGCTTATGAAGTTTGAAGATGTTTACATGATTCGAATAATAAGCCTTGGAAAATCGCGATATTTACTATGAAATATACTGTATTTTTGTTTTTACTATGAAATATACTGTATGTTGGAAATTCTTGTTTGAAGAAAGTTTTCACAACAAATCACTAGTTTTAAAAGTTTAATCACTCGAAATACAAAGTTATTTTTCACTCAGAATCACAGTTTCAATATAATTGTATGTTACATCATAGCATGCACAATTTAACATAGTTAATATGAATTGGGTATCTTATCTTTCGGACATGTATTTCTGTTTTTGGGGGCGCGCATCCCCAAAACAATCTTTTAATCAGTAATTCAGTCACAGTTTTTGAAAACTTATATTCGAAGAGCATTCATGTAAACGTCTTCAAATTCTGTATACTTATTAATTCTAAGGTGGTCTTTTTAGCGATTTGGTTCATTTCTTAATTTTCTCGAAACCTGAGCATGCAATCCTATGTGGAGGCTTGCTGAGGCTCTGGGAAAGTTTTCCTCTTCGCAGTAGTGTAGCGATATCATCGCGATGGACACCCAATTGTGACAAGTACCAAAAAGAAATAGAATAAAAAATCTGCATCACTTTACGAGAAAATGAAAAGTGTGTGGGAAGAACGTCTGTTTCTTTTGAAATTAAAGGAAAAATATTCAGGTACTGTAATTACTATTATTATTTATTGTAGTCACTACGTGTCTTCTTATTGGCGAGTAGCTTACAGTTAAATATGGAGACACGCAACCTCCACATAACTCAGTTAACTGAGTTATATGTAGGTGGTGAATAAGCAATTCCAGCTTTTAGTTTATGCCTGCAAGGGATGATGGGAAGTAAGGTATCATATTGCTGATTGAAGTATAAGCTATCACTCCGTGTTTACACGGCCACCATTTTTATTTTTTCAGCATAATCACCAATGTGATACCTTACTTCCCATCGTCCCCTGCACGCATAAGCTAAAAGATGTGGATTGGAATCTTGCTGAAATGCATGTTTTATTTTTTTTTCACTATATCTGGAGAACAGGATCAGACTATATACTACTAATCCCACAAGTTGGGATTGGAATCTTGCCGAAATGCATCTTTTATTTTTTGAGATCGGATGCATGGATGACAGGATCAGACTATAATACCAATCTCACAGTAATTATACTGGTTGGGATTGGAATATTGCAATTTATATTTAACCCATAAATGTCTCAAAAACGATGTCGGTGACCTATCTTTTTTATTTCATATATCAATAGGGAATGATGCTCTGCAACTGTGGTGAAAGTTTAAAAAAATTCTGTAGTGTGTGATTTTTTAAAAGCGAAAATTTTATTGCGAAATTTCCACACTAAAGATTTTTTAAAAATTGAAATTTATAAAATTTACCGCAAAATAAATTCGTGGTCAAAATTTGAAGATAGGTCACCAATGAAACTAATGAGTAAAATGCAAATAAAGTTAGAAAGTAGTCTCGTGTAACTCGAGAAATTCCCATTGTACGCGGGCGCAGAACAAGCTTTCAAATTCATTCAGCAAAATCACAGAATGAGAAGGTACAGCAGAAGCGTAACTCTAGTCGTTTCCCGTGTTGTTTTACGTCCACGAAAATTTTCACTCGCTTACGCCAATACACGTCATCCTGGCTAGTACAACCGGAAGTTTTTATCAGGTTTTGGTAGGTACAAAGTGCCGGTTGTACTAGCCAGGATGGCGTGATTGATGACGAATCGCTTATAAAAACGCGGACAAATACTTGCTTGAGTTACACGTCTGCTGTTTCTTCTTATTTTGTGGCAGAATAAAGCAGCAATGTTGTTTTTTATACTGTTTTGTTTTTGTCAACTTTTTGATTTATTTGAGTGCCATGGACAGCCAAGGATTATTGTGAAGGATCAAATCGATGAAACAACAAAACCTCTTTATAAAGGTTGAAGTTAATTGAACCCTGCCGTTTTCTCAATCTATGAACTGTAATGCAGCTGTCAATGTTACGCTCCAGAGAGGGGGGGGGGCATAGGTGGGGCATTTGATTTTTTGAGGAAATGTTCAATCAATTGCCCCACCGTCGGGCAATAAATACTGATCGAATCCCCCACCATATTGCAATAAATTGCAATAAATACTATATTAATAAAAGTCATTCGGTTCAAATTGCCCCAACTCGGGACCAAAATGCTAATCAAAATCCCCAGGGTGGGGATGCAATTGATTATCAAATACCTCACATATGCCCCCCCCCTGGGGGTTAACATTAGGGAGCTTAAGCATGTAGGACGGCAACACGACGACGACGGCAACCAATACAATGAGTCAATGAAAAGAAATAAATAATTAAAGTCCCAGGGGAGTTTCAGACGTGGTCGTCGTTCTGTTTACAACGGCAAATCACAGATTTTTACGTCTCTTGTACAACGCCTACATTTCAAGACGTGACAAGTGCAACTTAAATTCCGTTCAGTAGAACTCTTCCCAAACATAAAGCCAATGTTTTCAACTTCTTATACTGTATTAAATTCATACGAATTATAATATACGACAAGTTTTCTTTACTATATCATTTATTTGAAGGAATTTGTTTTGGCCGTCGTCATCGTGTTGCCGTCCTACATGCTTAAGCTCGCTATTGATAGGTGCATAACAGCCTTTTAACAGGTGGACGTGTTTTTTGTTTCATGTTTGGTTTTGTACATTTTGCTAAAAATGAACAATTAGGCTATGAAATTGAAATATTTTTGTGTTTATATATAATCACTTTAATCTTGTAGAAACACGACTAAAAACGTGAACGTTTTCTTGAGAAGTAAACAGTTTTTTAAACGTTTGTATGCAATGTTGCAAATGTTTTACAGTTGACAGTGTATATTTGAAAAAAATTAAAAAACATTGTTTCGTAGCTATTTTTGGTCTAGTGTATGTAGAATTGCTGCATAGAATATATGTAGAATTGCTGCATAGAATCGCAAGTGATTTGGTGCTCAAAACGAAGTACTGTTCAACGCTTTTTTCCATTAGAAACCTTTCAGAAATAGGGTTTTTTTACAAAAAAACCGGTCAATTTTTGTTTTGTTTTGATCATGCGGTTGCGTGGGATAGTTCACGTACTGGTCCCGCGAACATCCCGGCACGCTACTGTAGGGAGCCTCCTTAATAGAGAGGTTTGACTGTAGTTGCTAATCAAGGTATTGATTAAATTTAACAAGAAAATTTTACTATTGATTAACTCAATACTGTTGACAGTATTTATGTTTATCAGATATTTTAACTGGATTAAAATTATAAATTAGATTCGAACCTCAGATGTTTTAAGTAGAATTTAAAATCAAAGAGAATTGGAATTCTAGTAATGAGTTGAAAACCCCTATAAATGGATTTGAACTCATTACTATAATTCCAAGAATTGCTATAAGGAACATACATGTAATGTTGTAAAGCATGCATGTGATGAAATGGCCATCATATGGGAATGAGTCTTTTTACACAACTTTTTATCGCTATCCATCTACAGTATCTTGATGTAACATGCATGCAAGCTGGATCTATATCAATTTGAAAGTAACTCGATAATAATTAAACGTTTTACTGGTACAATTCAGAGTCAGGCAACCCATTCTAATGTCCACCTTCGGTACAAGGCTGAGTATTCAATAGTATAATTACAAACTAAAGGATATTAGGGCCATTGGTTGCAACTTAAGGTATAATCACTCATTGTGATTTCATTTGCCAAACATGCAATTTCGGTTTGTATTGGGGCTCAAAGTTTCTTGTATTATATAGATTGCCATGGTATTGTTTAAAAGTTCCATCAGTTCACATTGGTCAGTGCGTAAGTGCGTTCACAGTTCCATCCTAATTTTTTCAGGTATTCGGTATAAATATTAAATGGAAAGTATTTTTATTCAATTACCTTAATCTACTTATTGCATAAATTCCAAATAACTGCATCCAGTACATTATTATTATTATTATTATTAAAAATTTTGTATGTTCCCCAATGGGCTTTTCAGCATACAATTACAATACGAAATTTAAAATAAAGCTATGCTATACTATTCAAAATCTAAGTTATGATTGTCTATTAAATTTAAAACCTTCATATATATGATAAGAATTTAAAAGGTGTTCTTTTAGTTTTTTCTTAAAAACCTTGAGTTCTGGAATCTTTTTCAGTTCATCGTTCCATATCTTAACTGCGCGATAATGAAATGTTCTTTGCCCTGCAGTACTGAGTTTTATAGCTTGGAATATTTAAATAGTTGTTTTTTCTAGTCTGGCAATTATGAATATCAGATCGCTTTGTGAATTTATTTACAAGGTAACTTGGCGCAAGTTGTTCAGACATTTATAAGTCATTATCGTGTCTTTGTAAATAAGTAAGTTTTCAATAGTTAGCCAGTTAAGTTCTTGAAGACCTGGTGTTACATGGTCAAACTTTTTAATACTCATGATGATTCGGCATGCGAAGTTCTGGACTGTTTGCAATTTCTTTAGATTTTTCGATGAGGTAGATATGATTGTCGTGAAGATATGATCGTCGGGAAGTCCAGCAAAGTTCAAAGCCAGAAAATAGAAGATCTTTGATTGATGTTGAACTGTACTGATCACCATGGACAGAATCTTTTGTCCTAGCTTCACTAAATCTCAGCTACCCCTTGTATCGGATGGAAACTTAATTAAAAGAAAATACAAATGAGCTCAATCACCTGTAACTGGGATCATAAACTCAGACAATACATAACATAATCACTTCTGTTTAGTTTCCAGACCATCATATATATCATTATGTGTTCACATTGCATGAATACATTTATACTCTTGGTACAAGGTGCCAGTGTAGGTAGTGACAATAGCTGTAGCAGACAGCAATGGTATGAACTTGTGAGATACAACTAATCCGCACATTACAGAAATATATTGATTATTGATATATATGATGCTGATATACAGAAAGGTTGGGAAAACTATTTAGAGGCTGTTTATATATATGCAGACTCACTTAAACTCTTGCAGGAAATAATCTTGAATGAAATAGGTGGTGTATAGGTGTTAGGTGTTCTGTTGCGGGCAAAGAAACCCTGTACACAGGGCCTGACAGGGGTCACATTAGGCCAGGGAGGGGGGGGGGGAGGGGGTTGGAAATCACAAAAAGTTGGTCCCAGTTTTCTTTGAAACTGTTGCGCCTTCCTATTTCTGTGCTGTCGTATACCCACAAATGTTTATACTTACAATTCCACCGATAAAAATCGTATAATATCAAAACGTTTTGATGTTGTTCGAGTTAAAATCGAGCAACAAAAATCAGTTAAAAATGACACCGCACACACAACGATTTTGTTAGTTTTAGTCAAACGATTTTTATCGGCCAACTAAAATCGCATCGTTTGTGCCAGGCTGTAGAGTTGCACTAACTGATTTAGAACTCCGCACATTTTGTGTAGAAGTGCACTTTAAAAAAATCCCTACTTGCTACACTTGCTACGCTTGCTGCACTTGCTACACTTGCTACGCTTGCTACACTTGCTACGCTTGCTACACTTGCTACGCTTGCTACACTTGCTACACTTGCTACTCTTGCTACGCTTGCTACACTTGCTACGCTTGCTACGCTTGCTACACTTGCTACTCTTGCTACGCTTGCTACACTTGCTACACTTGCTACACTTGCTACGCTTGCTACACTTGCTACACTTGCTACGCTTGCTACCCTTACTACCCTTGCTACACTTGCTACGCTTGCTACACTTGCTACGCTTGCTACACTTGCTACGCTTGCTACGCTTGCTACACTTGCTACTCTTGCTACGCTTGCTACACTTGCTACGCTTGCTACCCTTGCTACACTTGCTACCCTTGCTACACTTGCTACACTTGCTACGCTTGCTACACTTGCTACGCTTGCTACACTTGCTACGCTTGCTACACTTGCTACGCTTGCTACACTTGCTACGCTTGCTACGCTTGCTACACTTGCTACACTTGCTACGCTTGCTACCCTTGCTACGCTTGCTACGCTTGCTACCCTTGCTACTCTTGCTACGCTTGCTACACTTGCTACGCTTGCTACACTTGCTACTCTTGCTACGCTTGCTACACTTGCTACGCTTGCTACGCTTGCTACACTTGCTACGCTTGCTACGCTTGCTACGCTTGCTACACTTGCTACGCTTGCTACACTTGCTACACTTGCTACCCTTGCTACACTTGCTACACTTGCTACACTTGCTACACTTGCTACGCTTGCTACGCTTGCTACACTTGCACAAATAAAAGTGGAAACATTATTGCGACATAGAATTTTAAATTTAGATACAATTGTCCAACAACCAATGAAATTGCATCTTCTTAGGACTGCGAGCTGACTCCATCATATTTTAAAATTAAAAATACAGCAGTTCAAAATGTAAACAAACCGTTTGTTTACATTACGGACTTGACTTCCCCTTTAATATTGTATTGTTTTTAAAATACGCCATTACATTCGTCCTTTCTTGTAAACGTTGATACGCTTTGTACCGATTCACTTGTTACTACGCGTCTTGTTTATAAGATTTTTAAAAGAAACAGTATTGTCTAGGACTGACCCAATATTA